CGCTCATCTTTTACCGTTTGTTTTGATGGTCTGCAAACTAGCGGGGCGGGGCCTGCTGTGATCTGATCAAGTACCCCTGACATGAGAGCCGTGCAAGTTTTCCTTTTGTAGCAAGCAGCAAAATAATTGTAACATGACGTGTTTGAGTTCATTTACCTACTTAATATCACACGTCCTAAAAAAAAAAGAATTTGTAAAAAAAAAATGTTTAATTAAATAAATCGCACATATCGCGGTTATCGCCATGACACGATATATCGTTCAGCCCTATTATATGTTCATATTAGGTATAACCTTTCTTTGAAGAAACGCTTTATTTTGGCAATGAAGGTTAGGAGCCACTGCCTTATGGAAACAATAAGGGAGTTATTTGACAGCCTAGAAGAGATGTCCTTTGACCTTATCAGTATAGGAATCACGGCATGAACATGCAAACACTCAACCAGCACATCTGCTTCATAACCATACAGTGCACACACAGGACACCATTGTGTTTACCTGCATGCAGTTTCATGATTCCATTACTTGATAGTGTGGTTTTTACAATAAATCCCTTCATTGAGATTCAAGGCACGTCTTTGATTGCAGATGTCATGGCTTCTACATCACAATAAACATTTGTATGCAGCAAATGTACACATAGTAGATAGATAAGCACTCTGCAGGCATCGTGGCGAACACATAGATAACCCTTTATCATTCACAGGTTCGAGTATAACATAATATGCACATAAACGGTAGGGTTACAAAACCTCAAGCTGTTTAGAAAGGAAATGTATCAAGTCAAGTACAGATACGAAGGGTGTCCTTGAAATCCATCTCCACAATCTCAAAGACAGTCCAGTCGTGTGCTCCCCTTCTACACAAACACTGACTGCTTGTATGTCCCGATAAAAGAGACGGCTCTTATAGATCTTTCCTTATTTCCGAGTGTCAGCCTAGCAATTTCCATTTCTCCATTTTCTGGCGTCTTAGCTCATTTCTCTTTCTGAGGCGTGTGCCCGCCTCCGTCGCATGACAAAAAGCTGACATCAAAGCGATCCAGTCTAATCACACATCAGGGAAATCAGACTCTTGCTGGATGGTTCATGCCGTTTTGCTTTTGCTCGCTTTCGATACGGGAGAGAGTTATGATGCAGGAAGTTTGAAGTGAATCACTGAAGTTTGTTTTTCCCTTTCTTTGGTAACACTTTACAAACACCATCATTAATACATGTTTAATTGCTAGCTAATTAAATATTCGTAAATGGTGATTATCCTGTTAACAACAAATGAAATGATAATTAATGTTAATTAAATAATTAATGTTAATGAAATAATTTGGTATCTCAACAGTAATTGTTGTGGTGCACATATAATACTTATATACTAAATTGAATATGTGTTAATCTTTATTAATATGTTTATGAAGCATCTATACATATTAATTGAATGGCTATTATTAAGTGTCAAGATATGTATTTAGGGGGAGATATAGGGAATGACATTTTTAAATCTTATTAAAGGTTGACACATCATTTGTAATAACTTAAAAGAGGTTTCAATCTGGTCATGGGTTTTGCCAACCATATATCTAGAAGCTTCTCCAACCTTTTACGTTTAAAGCATGGTGGTACTGTGACAATTTGTAGGTGTTAATGTATCATGGCACCTTTTGGGTTTGCTCATGCGTGACTGTATGTGTGCTTTTTAAGGGTAAATGTGTGTGTGCATGCATGTGTATGCAATCTGCAGTGTTGGGCAAGTTACTTCCAAAATGTAATACAGTACATATTACTTTTTACTGTCTTTGTAAAGTAATAAGTTACATCACAATATGAGCATTCAAGTAGCTCAGTATACATCCAGTGAAGGGCAATGTGGTATAGCATAACAACTGTGTAGGCCATTAAGGGTACTAACCTCTTTTATTACATGGCTTAGTTGAATACTCGATTCTGATTGTAAATTCTTAACATGTGACACGTTGTTAATACATCAGTACAGACCGCTGTCAAGGACTATAATGAAGGTTGCTAAGGAGGATCAAGAAAGAGAAAGGAGAAGAGGTTTAAAGACGGAGCGCTGGACGTCAGATAAATCACCAGAAGAAGGCAGACAGGAAGTAAACACTAACACGGAATGGGCTCTGTAGTTTGGTTATGGCTAGAAAGGATCCGTCTTGTGTAAAACTCTCGCGAGAGTTTGGCTGAATGTCACGTGGCTGAATGTTTACGTTTGGCAGGCAGCCTTTCAGTTACGATCGTTAACATCAGTGGGCCACAGCAAATGATGATGAGAAGCTAAACTATCTATTAATTATGTCAATTACAGGGAGTGTGATTGTTGAAATAGGGTGTTAGCGGTCTTGCTGTTCAAAGAAGAATGACAACACTGTAGATCACCAACACTATGGTTTATTTTTTATTCACAGGNCGACTTTGTTACCGTCATTTACCACTTTGTATTTTTCTCTTGCGTCTCTACCTCCGTCTCCTGCTTCTCCCCATCTACCTCTCTTTCTCCTTCTTTTGCTTCATTCCTTCCCCCTTATTTCTGCCGTGTGTTCTTCCAGTCTAGTAATTTATGGTCTCATGTGATGAACCAGCCCGTGGGCCTGATCCTCATTGATCTCTGCTGTCCGAGCACAGCCCAGACACATAGGGAGGCCTGTGAGTTGATCTCCTCTTCCTTCACACCCATGGATCACCCACCTTTTTCTCCACCTACCTTCAACTATTTGAATTGGCCCTGTCATCGATTCCTCTGTTCTCCTCTCCTTCTGCCAGTCTTCTTTTCCCCTGCCCAATTGAAACAGAATAGATCTGGGTTATGTCATTATGATAGATTTACATTGAAACTCTTTACTTCAAATCCGCCCATTAAGCATTTATAAGCACTATGTATACACTTACTACCATTATTTATAATTGGGATTGTCGTTTCATGTATTTTTCAACCAAAAAGAGTATCTTTTACTTGTTGTTATATACAGTTGAATCAATGATTGATAACCACAGTTCAACATATTTGCATGGTGTATGATGTACCTGTACATATCCGTCAAGCTGATTTAGAAGTGTTTGAATCTCAAGAAGACATGGTGAGCTTGAAAACAGAAAATGGAAAGGTTGTTGAGGCTTTGTAGTGAAAAGTAAGTTATTATAAAGTCGCATTGCAGTGTTTGGATGGGGAGCCAGTGGAGGTCATGTGGAGGGATAGGGGTGATGTAGGTCGGAGCGTGGGTGGACGTGAGCCAAGCAGGCAGCGAAGTATTTGGAAGACTATGAAGTTTTTATATCTACTACTTACCCCCCCCCCCTCCTCCCCTGTATTAGAATAAATATGATACAACATTGTGTTATCTCAGCTTCCAGAACCTTCGCTACTCTTCCTCTCTCCCCTCCCCTTCTCATCTTATATGAGGGGAATGGTATGTCTCTGCATTTGCATTTCAATTTCATTTCTACATTAAGTGCATTATGATACTGGTATAATGATGATAATTAAAATGCCATTTAATATTTAAGTCGCAATATAACCTGCTGCACTTTGGTCAGTTACTGATGGACAACTGTTGTGATTACCATAGAACCACAGTGTTGATCTGACCTTTAAAAGTCTTTGTGGGGAGTTCTAAAATGAGACGGGACCTCATTTACCAGCTTTTCCAATCCACGCCATATATCGGATGCAATCTTCCCCATAATGTGCTTTGCTATGACAACTCACATGTCGTTACCAGCGCTG